CCCCCACCTCCTATCGGCTTGTCCGGTTGAGCTGCTTGTGTAGAATTGGGAGACAGAAACCTTACCTTCAGAAGGACTTCTTTCTCCGCATTTATCATTTCTGCCTTCTTGGATTGGTCCAGTTCATCGTGCATCTCGGAGAGCTGCTGCTGGAGGTCCTTCATCTGCATTTTAGAACGCTCCCTGTCTGCAATCATCTGAGTCAACCTGTGAAATGCACAACGTACAGTACACTGTAAGAGTTACAGTTTTAACACGGGTAGACGATGAGGGACAAAATGGAAGTGCCGCGATAAACTCATCGGTCGGAATATTCGGTAAAGCTGTACAATCTAATGAGATCCAACACAATGAATGCGATATGCTCACTCGTCTTTGGTCGACTTAAGTTGCGACTCGATTTCCATCAGTTTGTTTCTGAGGTTGGTGACCTCGGCCTGATTCTTGGCCAACTCTTCCTGCAGCTTCTTCTTCTCCATCCGGGCCTTCTCACAGGCTTTGGCAAGTGTCTTTTCATTCTGGGACACAAAATCAACTGTCTCAAGATGAAGGTTTTAGAAATGTGGGCACACTGAGTCAGGCAAAAGCGACACAAAACCTTCATCTCGGTTTCCAATTTCCGCGTCAAGTCATACACTTGTGACTGCAGTGCTTCCTGTTTCTCCAGCAGCTGCTTCATCTCTACTGTCCGATCCTACAGAGGGTGAAAGTTCTATTCAAACACGCTACATGAGTCAAGAGTGAGCTACAACGGAGAGCATTTTCACTCCTCCGTTCACTTTCACCTCCTCCTCCACATTCTCAGCCGTTTTCCACTTCAGTCTGTTGATCCTTTCAAGCAGAAGGTTGACTTTCCTCCGGGTGACGGAGACTTCGTCAGTCGTCCTAAGAAGAAAGACAAATGTTTTATAAACACTTTTATCTCGTTGCTTTGACGGCGCAGAGATGAAGACGTTGGCCAAACTTCACTCAGCCTGCCGCAGGATTCTGTCTGGAGCACGTGTCAAAATAGGTGATAGATCATTTAAGACATTCCAGGTTATATCTGGAGAAGCAAGATCACGCTCTGCATTCCTGATTGACTCCGTGTGTGAGTGGATGTGTGAGCAGCTGTGCCGGCAACTCTGTTATCACACTATCACAATAGATAAAGTTAAAAAAAAAAAAAATTCTTACACTTTATTCTATCATCAAACTAATCCATCAAATGTTGTTTGGTTGAGGCTTCAACCCTAAGTTGCCACTGCAACACCAATCTCAAAAGTACACAAACACGAGTTGTTTTGTTCACAAGAACCGTTGACAGTTCGTTGAGGAGTAACTACATATATGTCTGCCAAAAAAACGGATTATATTTAACGCTTACGAGAACCGTTGACAGTTCGTTGAGGAGTAACTACATACAGTATATGTCCGCCAAAAACACGGATTATATTTAGCGCTTACAATTGTTACTGACACATGTATGGTTGCAGAGTTGGACAAGCGCCTGTTGTCACGGATGGCCGATGCATCCACGTTGCAAAGGGGACTAACTTTATAGCCCTTATAGGGGATTTTGAATGACATGTAGGACAAACGAAGCATCATATAAAAATCTTTGATTGAGTTAATTTTGACGAAAACGTGTACAAAATGAATTCTTGCAATTAATGTTGGTTTGCTGTTCAGCAGTTTTGTGCCATCTTTGAATGGAAATTTGAATGCAAGTGAGCCCTTTGCACAGGGTGGAAAAAAAAATCTATTGTATGAATTTGAGCATAGAAATATAGAACAATACTCTTTTGTACATCAGTTGAATAAAAGAAATACAACTTTTGTCCTTATTTCAACTTTTTCAAGCATTTTTGTCACACATCTGATTAAGAAGCGAACGGCCCAATGTGACCCCCGAGTAGTGCTGACAAAAAATGGTTGCCTATCCCCGTTCCAGTTCTTTTATGTGTTCACTCACCCTTCCTTGAGGTAGGTGAAGAGCATTTGCTTCGCTGCGTCTTCATTCGGGTCGACCGATACCTGCTGTCCTTTCAGAAGATCAGGAGTGACCTGGTTAGAGAGCATGATAAATAGAACCTTTGAAATGAGAACCGCGTCTGTGAGGACATGACTTTACCTGAGCGTCTCTTTCCTTTGCTCCATCTATGCAAGTGCTCTGCGACGATTCCTTCGTTCTGTGAAGTACTTTTGCTGCCATGTCAATCCCATGATGATCTTTAAACTGTATGCCGGGTTTGTTCTCTTCTCTCTTGTTGGCCTCTCCACCCAGCAGCCGAGCCCTGGCTGACCCCGGAGGATACACCTCGCCAGAGGTCACACCGCTGCTTCCCCCCTTCAGAGACGACGTCCTGCTGGATGAAGAGGAAGACGAGTCGGAAGCTCGGCCGCTGTCCACGCTACGTGACCGTCGCGTTTCTTCTGGGTCCAGACGACTTCTGGGGCCGCCCCTTCCTCTACGCTGGCTACTGTTGAACTGGGTGATTAGCTTGCCTACAGACATGAAGGGTTCAGAGTCCACTGAGTTTGGGGACCTTGCAGGGAGGTGTCCGTCCGAAGGAGGCGTGTTCTGGTCGTCTGTCGGGCCTTCGGCTGGAAGCGGAATCCGGGCTTTGGTCCGATCCCCTGTTTTCCCGGGAAGGGTTTGCGAAGGGTTGAGATGGTTGAGGTTGTTGCTTCTGGGGTCGTACGGTCTCAGGATCTCTGGGTGTTTCTGGTAATGAAACTCGGACAAGGAGCTAGTCCCATCCACGGACCTCTTCACCATGCCCGGTTTGTAGCCAGTCTGGTGAGTGATGACTGATACGTCTCTGTGGCTTTCTTCACCAGAACTGTTCAGAACTACAAAGGGCTGACCTTTAATCCCTTGAACCTGCACCCGAACTCCAAAGAAACTGTCATGGCCGCCTCTGGGGTTGTGCGCATCAACATAAGTCTTCTGCATCCTCATTTCCGGGGAGCCACCTAGTCCGGCCATTGTGGCTCCGGCTGCATTAACAGAACGAAGGGGGAAACAGAGGTTCTGAATTACAAAGATTCCAAATTGCAGGCAAGTGTGAGGATGGGAGCCACTGACTATTTTTTTTTTTCGCAATCGTCCACATTATTCGCAATCAGCCTGGCTGTTTGGCAGGTTTGATTGAGTTCACCATGGAAAATTTGACAGAGTTCCCAAATCAGGCCCAGAATGTTATAACCCTGTTGAACGCTGATCCAGCATGGGAAGGCGTACACAATTGTTTACACAACATTAGAGTTGCAGTGCAAGTAGGACACGGTGACATAGTGCCATCCAAGGATCTCCTCTCTCACACTCACACACAGCTGCACTCACGAGCCAACATGAAGACATACATGGACAACAGCTTGATTTTGCAGACAACTCACTCTGTGTGTTAATGACACTGCCGTATTGTACCAACAACACTGAGCCAATTGAATTACAACTACAACTGGCTGAGGTTTGTGGGGTGTCGTCACCCACTTCATGGTATAAAGGAGCAATATTTGTCAAGAGAGATGTCAACACTGGAGCCATTGTCATCATTATTGCACTCGATCTAAAATTTTAAGCCATTTACAGATGTGTTTTGAGTATGGGCCATAGGATTTATCATGACTTTGTCGGAGAAGATGAAAAAGGTAACAACAATATTAGGAATTAGTTTTTAGTATAAGAGTGCATTCTATGCACCACTGCAATTTATGACAATATTAATAATGATGTGGTATAGTCAATTTAATATGTTTCTGGTTGCATTATTTTTGGTAAATCATGTCATGTAGGTTTGATTCCGGCTGTGGCCTTCTAGTGTGGGCTTTGCATGTTCTCCCCATGCCTGCGTGGGTTTTCTCTGGGTACTCCAGTTTCCTTCCACATTCCAAAAACATGCATTGCAGGTTAATGGAACACTCTAAATTGTCTCTACGTGTGAGTATGAGCATGGATGGTTCGTCTATGTGTGCTCTGCGATTGGCTGGCGACCAGTTCAGGGGGTACCCCGCTTTCTGCCGGAAAACAGCTAGGATAGGCTGCAGAACGCCCACGACCCTTGTGGGGATAAGCGGATTAGAATATGGATGGATGGATGAAATTCATACCTCCCTGACAGCATTATTGTCTTTGGTGAATCATCATTTTGATCTCACTTGATTAATGTATGTGTGAGAAAAGATTTATTACAAAGCACGCTTTAAATGTTTACACTTTTTAGAAACTGGTGGCATTGGCTGGCAACCAGTTCAGGGTGTCCCCCGCCTACTGCCCGAAGACAGCTGGGATAGGCGCTAGTGCGCCCGCAACCCTTGTGATTGGGAATTGGAAAATTGATGGATGTAAATTGACTTCATTATTTGCAACCTTTGAGGTAAAAACCTTTGGTTGCCAGTTTGGGAAAATCCACCTTTAGCAGATAAAAACGTAGTTTTCCCTCAAAGCGGACTAGTTTACAACATAAGGTACGTAAAACGCATGTGTCCTTGTGGAATTTCGTATATCAGGAAGGGAAAATAAAAGTAGAAAGTTTTACTCTGGAATTTTACACTGATTTAACAGGAAAGCAAGATATTTGTCATTCAAATCAACCACTGTAATTATTCTTCGGGGCTTTCTTTTATGTTAGCATTAGCCAGTTACCATGTTCCACAGGTAAAATAACACCTTATAAGTAAACAGCAAGTAATGCCTGCATATCGTTCCGAGAGGGCAGAGCAAGGTTGCTGCCTGGACGGGACTCCGACATTAAAACGGAGAGGCTGTCTGCCACAGAAAGCAAAGAGCTTCAAAGAGATGAGGGGGGAAATATCTTTACCGAGGTTCCGTAAACTCACCACGAGCACGCCAAAGAAAGGGTTGAAGCCTTTCCTTGTTATTCTTCCGTTCTTCGCAATATAAAGGAGTAAAATCGTCATAAAGAAACGAACGTACCCGCTGTGAGTGTAAAAGTGAGTGAATCGGAGTGCGGTCCTCCTCTTCCTCCAAACTGTCCCGCTGTCCTGCCTCTGCCCAATGAGGCGTTCACCAACGCCGCGGTGTCCGACATCCCAGTGTCACGTGACAAAGGAGATATTCGGGAAATTCTTGCGGACGGCGCTACAACGGGGCTGCGGAATGCGATGGTCCGGTCAGAAATCTGTGTAGCTCCAGTTAAACAGCTTCGGCATTTAATTTGATATTCTAAATTTTGTTTACAAATTATTTTCTCAGATGTATCGGTCCAACCCAATTATATGCTGTGACTCTGCTTTCAATGACAGCTCCTCTAATTTTAGGCGCTCAATTGATGAATTGAAACGGAATTAAATATAAAAGGCGTAGTTTAGAGCTCAATTTGACAAATAGTATATGGTGTGAGATTGTTAAACCACATGAAGACAAAAATTACAGATATTAACAGATATTTGCAGAAAAAAAGACAAGAAGAACAAGAAAAACATGTACTGTATTGCTATATGCAGACACAAGCCAATAGGCTACATTGAACTGTACACAAACTGTACATTTTATAATAGCAGAACTTTTTTATGACTTTTTGAGATTTGTTCAAAAAAGCAATAAACAGCATTCTACATAAGCATATTGCTCAAAACATGAAATGTGTCTAAAACTGCACCGAAGAGTTTCCTTTGTAAAATCAAGTGTGACAAAAGCATTTACAGACATTTGTATAAAAGATAACTTACATAACTTAGGGAGGAAAAAATGTCCTAAACATGCACACAAAAAAAAAAAAAAACCCCCCCCCCCCCCCACACACACACACATTTGGCTAGATCTGAAAAGGAATGATGTGAGTGACAAATGTTTTGTTTTTGCCCACCAGTGTTGTTCGTAACAGTGCTAAACATACAAATAAAAAGAAAAGCTTCAATAGATAAGATGCTAATTAAAACATTCTTGGAGATGTGTTCATTCACAGAATGGGCCAACTCCTAAAACACACAGGCAAGCGCACACACACACTCACACACACACAGAAACTTCCATACTCACAATGCCACAGAACAAATAAATCTGCTGTCTGAATACGCATTGAAATGTCACGTCTGCCAATACACTATCAAACTGTTTGCCAAAGTGCAGATGACACCTCGCCACAACTGAGTTCTATCCTTCCAGGACAGATAAAAAAATGTACAAAATATCTCCAAGTTACAATGCATTTGTCTTTCAGAAGTAAACTTTTAGGCACAAAGTTAGAATTGTGTTGGAGAAGCGAGGGGATGATTGTTCAACTGCATCACGAGTCTCTGATGCTCTTCATTTTGCCAGAGACCCCAGAGTTAAGTATTTATTAGCTGGTTTAATCAAAGTACACTCACATACAATACACTACTCACAAAAATGAAAGAATATTCAGCTTTTTGGGTGAACCTAAAATGCACTATATACTTTACATGTGAACTTATTTTGCTTATTTTGTCCCTCGCTAAACGTTTCAATGTCCAACTGTTCGAAATGTTTCAGTACTTTTTACACAACGTGCTGTCGTCTAACATGAAGCGGAATGACAAAAGTCTCTAAAGCATTGAACAGTTAAGAGTCACTGGCAGCTCCGGGTATGTGAATTATGTGTTGCAACACAAGGCGGCATTCCCACAAAAAAAAAAGAAAGAAATCTGCGTGAAGTGGTTTTCTTTTTGCGCCCCCCATCTGGAGTCGCTCTCTGTCAGAGAGTTGCAGACAGCAACACTTTTGAAATAATTTAATTCGGGCAATCCTGAACAAAGAAAGCAAGCATGCTAGGAAACAAAGCCAAACTTATTGCAGTTGGACTCCGTTTAGGTTTTTTTTTTAGTTTTTTTCATTTGTGCAAAGCAAGGCTTGTGTTTTTGTAATTCTGCTTCCTTAATTCGAAATATATTTTGATGATTCTGTATTCCTAGTTTTCAATGCAGCATATTTAAAATAGTGTTTTCAATTCAAGGCAGCACGGTGGCTGACTCGTTAGAACATCGGCCTCACAGGGTAGAGGTGTAGGATTTGATTCCGGCTCCGGCCTTCCTGTGTGGAGTTTGTATGTTTTCCCCATGCCTGCGTGGGTTTCCTCCGAGTACTCCGGTTTCCTCCCACATTCCAAAAACATGCGTTGCAGGTTAATGGAACACTCTAAATTGTTCCTAGGCGTGGTTGTGAGCGTGAATGGTTGTTCATCTGTGTGTGCCCCGTGATTGAATGGCAACCAGTTCAGGGTGCACCCCGCCTACTGCCTGAAGACAGCTGGGATAGGCACCAGCATGCCCGCGACTCTTGTGAGGATAAAACGGTACAGAAAATGGATGGATGGATGTTCAATTCATCAGTGTGTCCATGAGTGTGTTGGTGGTGTGTGTGGTGGGGTAGCGAAAGGGCTCTCACTAACTATGATGAGGCCTTGGACCGCCACTGGTTGGTGAGATGTGCATTGAAATGTTTAGAGGTCAAATTACGTTCATCTGTAGGCTAAAGTGCATTTTAGTTTCATCTTGAAATTCAACCCAAAAACCCAGTTATGCCCAACTTTTTTGTGCATGTAGTGTCCGATACAGTATATCCTCCCATACACAATTTAGAGCTCCTCTCAGACTGTGTTAACAACCAAATGTTAATAAAAATATATCCTCATAAAGATCAATTTGGAAGCATGAAGTCCACATTGTTAAATTGGAATTGTTGACCGGTTGGAGCCTCAGAGATGGCCCATTGGGTTTGCAGGATCGGTCAGACCTGGATGAAATGCGACATGCATGGACTGAGGATCTGTCATGACAGCAGACACCTTCTCTTCCTCTCTCCTCCTCAGACACGCAGCTTTCGGGTTGAGGTTCCTCTCTGAGGGACGAGCAGTGGTTCATTTGAGGAAAAAGGCAACTCTCGGCGAGCGTTTGTGATGGTCTGCGTTTGGCGCTCACCTCTGACTTGTTGTTCCAGGCTGAGGATGACGGCCACGGCCTGGTGCAGCACCAGCAACTTGGTCTGCGGCTTCTCGCTCTTCAGGTGCAGCTGACACATGTGACCTAGCTCCTTGAACGCCTCGTTGATGTCGCGTACGCGCAGACGCTCCCGAGCGTTATTGGCCATCCTCCTCTCGCGCTCACGCTCGGCCTTCTGCTCCGGACTTAGATCTTCGTCCTCGTGGATACTTCAGCATTGGACGATATGGAAGAGGAGAATAAATGTTAAATTCAATCAGGGGAAAAGAGTCAGGGGAGGACATGGGATTTTATGAGGACTTTACTGCCCTCTACCGGCCATTGAGAAGAACAGACCTATACTTTTACAACCTAAATCCTAACACGTTCCATTAAATCGTTTCTATTTATTCCCAACAGTATATCCTCCAAATTTCGGAGCATTTCTCTTGTTTGCACCGCATCCTTATTTGTATTTTTTGTCCAATTAGATTTCAGCCTGCATGTGCTGCCATGTCAATCTAATCTGTCAGCCTTCATAATAAATTATGCTAGGCAAGGTAACTCAAAACTACCATAAATTCCTGTGAATAACAGGCGCCCGTGTATAATATGCTCCCCCAAAAATCAACCCTAAAAAACATTTGACTTGACCTGATTTGCTGTTATACATTATTATCAGCGTAAAAAATATGAATGAATAAAGATTTAAAACCAATAAAGTGCAAATGCTTTTAAATCCACGTTTAAAACAATGCTTGTTTCCTATTACCTCTGATGAAAGTCTTACAAAGTATTTTTAAAATCATATTTTTGAAAATCGTGTTCTTGCACCGTATGCACTTAGTAATTTTAGTTAAGCTATTTTTAAAATTTCTTTACTTTGCTTTTAGACGTCTTTAACTCTGTTTCTAACTGCTTTTGAATGTTCGACTTTTATTCAAAATAAGTGATGCATGAATAATAAGTGACAAATCTGGGATTCTATATGTTTTTTACAAACCCTATGTGCCGGTAAATGTCGAAACAAAGTGATTTTTTTTTGTGTCTTAATAAACCGCCTGTATTATAGTATAAGTGCAGGGGAAATCATGTTGTCAAGTGACAGCATTAGGGTCTACCTGTCCCTCGTGCCGTTGTCTCCATGCGTCTTGAGTTCGCTCTCCTCATCTGACCTTTGACTGTCGGAACTGTGGCTGGTGTGCATCATGTCTTCCCTCTCAATACTTTCAATTTTCAGCTCCGCATTTCCTGGAATTCCCAAACTCCCTGCAAAGGAAGAGGGATCATTATACACTGTGACATCAGTTTGGCAGCTAATTGCCATCATCAATTGAATAACAGTAAACACATCATGCTAAAAAAATCTGCGATTGAGTCACCTCTGCATCCTCCCGACATCGGCTCCAGCGTGGTCCCTTGTCTAGCGGGGTACGGGTGTCCATTTTGTGTGCGCCCCTGGAAGGCTGAATGGTTGTTGTTCATGGTGACAGCCTCAACCTTTGCGCCACACAAAGAAGTCGATGAGATAAGGCCAATATTTACAGTGTGTGTTCAGTTAGTACGACACGTGAGAATCTGTTAAATAATTATGGTAAATGATGCTACAGCGCAGCGCTTAAAACCCAACATCTGCTTCTTTATACCCAACATCCTCCTGAGTGGATCACTTTCCCATACAGACCCGATCTTAATCCTCCCCTTAAAACTGCTACACACTTTCTATTACACCAGTAATTCTCTTCAGGAATGATTCACTCCTAATCGACACATCCAAAGTATGAAATGTAATATCGCACTCCCCCAGGGGATTAGAATATACTATCCCTCGAGCTAGGGCCAAATCCTCCCACTCGGCTAAAAGGGAAAAACACGCCGTATCTGAGGCAGACCCCATCACCCCACACATTCAGTACACTTCCGACACAAAAGTGACGTGTCCCTGCACTGGCCCATTGTGTTCTGTTTCCTATTTTGCTGATGATAACAACAGAGTGGAAAAGTCCACAAGCTCAACAGCACACACAAACACGAGATGACATTTGCATACACGCAGCTCCATACTAAAATGCTTCAAAGTCTAACCATAGTTGGGGTGTGGCAGGTGAGCGCGAGCGTGCTGGCAGGGTTTGGCCGGCCGAGGAGGTTCTGGTTCAGCAGGCTGTGGATGTCAGCGGGCAGGCTGGGCATGGGACCGACGGCGTGGTTCCTTAAAACGTGGATGACATCGTCCAGTCTGTCCAGTCTGTCCTCAACCTGAGACTTATAGGGGAACAATATTTGTTAAATCGTGGCTTTTATCTGAGCTAAAAAAAAAAACATTACTATGTCATCTCTCTCTCTCTCTCTCTCTCTCTCTCTCTCTTTATTTTTGCTTTGCTTTATTTTGATTTCCCTTGCTTTTACGTCCTTAGCTTTGCATGGGGAAAAAAAAACGAACACAAAGAACACAAAAA